TATCAGCTTAAATCTCACATGATTCCTCTAATATGAGAACTCTAAATATAAATAAAAGAGCAAAATAAAACATAGACAATGGGAAATGGGATTGATTTCTTTCTAGTCAGAGTCACAAGAAGATTTGGCTTTAAGCTTTGCAATATCATCAAATCTGAATCTCCCCTAATTCAAGGAACACATTTTTCTAGGAGACAGAAAGAGAATTTTCTTAGAAGGAAGCGCCATTGTCGTGGAACTAGGAGAGAGGAGGGGACTTTTGGAAAGTGGAAATTGTTGAGAAGGCTGGAAGGATTGGTCATGCCAGGCAAGATGGAGTGCTTGGATGGCAGCCCTTCTCTACCAGGGTTTACAGTGGAAAGCTGGGCAGAGCCTTTGATACTCTCTCTCTCTCTAATACACTATATCAGCCACAGTCCTTGACTCATAACTTCTACAGCCCTTATTGTTTCCTCAGTGGGTGGAGTAATACTAAGGCGCTATAGGCCTCGGAAAGTCTGTCTCTCCTCGGTCTTTTCCCACCCTCTTTTCATTGACTCCTTTTACCCCCAATGCAGGCCATCAAAATGGGGGATTCCTTTTCCCCAGTGTGGGTCACAGAAACTCATTTTCCCTGACTTTTTGTCCTGGCACATGCCATCAAGGAATGCTCTAACCTACTGCGTCCTAAAGTAGATTTTAAGACCCATAATTTCAGAAGGGGTCCTGTAGGAGAAAGGAATGTTGCACAGAGAGGCCAAGAACAATCAGACAGGTCCTGCTGGGCTTCCTCACTCAGGCCGTAGCATTAGAGAAGACGCTTTTATTTGTCTGATCACATGTTTACATGGTTTTCCACAGTTCAGTTTAAGCGTAGGTGATGAAATCTCCACAGAACTCCGAAAAGACAGACTTCAGGTGTCTGCTGGTCAGCTGCACATAAGGAGATTCCTGAGAGAGGGACTGCCCAGGGAGGACGTGGGAGCTCTGTGCTTCTCTCCACACGGCCTGCCTCACGTATCTCTTCCATCTGCAGCATTAGCAGTGCTTTTTATAATGAGCTGTAGGGTAAGCTTGAGTTCTGTGAGCTGCTATAGCATATGAATTGTATTTTTAAAAAAATTTTTATGGAAATGTGGGATTTGAAGGCAGGGTTATGTGCAAGCTAGGCAAGCACTCTACCCCTGAGTCACATCTGCACCCCTATAGCAAACTAATTAAACCCCAGTGTATAGCCAGTCTGCCAGAAATCCAGGGAAAACAGTGGGGGGCTTGCGGCTAGCATCTGAAGTTGGAGGACAAACTTGGGGCCTTCAGGTGGTGGGATCTGATGCCGTCTCCAGGTCAGTTTGGGGAACACCCATTAGGGGTCTGCTGTAGAACTGTCTGTGTGCTTGGTGTGTGTGAGGAGGAGCCCACACGTTTGGAATCACAGGGATCTGTGTTGTGACAGTACCGTAGGAGAAGCTGAGTTTGTTTTTCCCTTTATATCCTAAGAGTCTGCAGATAGCAATGACATGAGAACGCAGGGAAACAAGAGCAGGTAGAGAGGCTACCAGAGTCAGAGTGTGCACAGGAAAAGAAACAGGAAAACCCAAGCAGTGCTTAAGGCAGAGAAAAGCAGCAAGTGCTGAGCTTGCGATGAGGCAGGTGGTAGAGTTATCAGACAGAAGCCTACAACAGTTGCTTTTCCATTTGCTGATCTTAAAATTAATAGGAAGATTAAACTTCTCAGCCCAGCAATAGAAAGTGGTGCCAGTAGCCACTGGGAATACTGAAATTGGAAACTGAAAAGATGATGCCCAACATCCCAAATTCACCGGGTAGTTTAGGTGCAAAATGGAGAAGACAGAGAAAGTCAGTGAACTCTCTGGCAGATCAATAGAAATGATACAGTAGGAAATGCGGGAAAAAACTGGAAAAATGAGTGAGGGCATATGGTACTGTGGAGCAGTATCAAAAGTCCAAAAACTCATGTGATAGGCGTCTCATCCCAGAAGGTGAATGTAAAGATATTGTTGCAGAGAAAAATATTTGATGAAAGAATGGCTGAAAATGTCACAAATTTAAGAGAGACATAAAATTACAAAATGAAGAAGCTCAGTAATCTCAAACAGGAGTAACTCAATGCTAACCACTCAGTCGCTTCACAATCAAACTTCTGAACACTAAAGACTAAAAAATCTCAAGAGCTTCCAGGGAAGCATAGTGCATTACATGTAATGAACTCCTATTCAAATGCTTTAAAGTGCTGGGGGAAAAAATTGTCAACCTAGAATTTTCAGATGAATGAAAACCTTAAGACTACTATCTATCTATCTATCTATCTATCTATCTATCTATCTATCTATCTATTATAATAAGGTCTTGCCATATGTAGCAATCCTCCTGCTTCAGTCTCCTGAGTGTGAGATTACAGCTGTGTGCCATTAGGTCCACTTTTGAGACTACTTTTAGCAGATCTCCTCTTAAAGAAATACTAAAAGAACTTTTTCAGCTCAAAAGCAAGCCACACCAGGAGGAAAGTTGAAACTTTAGCAAAAGATGAGCAGGAGAAATGATAAATAATGTGTTAATATATTTCCCCGAGTAAAACTGCATGTACAAAAAATACAAAATTGAACAAAAATTACCCCTGATTCTATGATGCAGGGGCACCTGTAGACTAGTGGAAATATTTTAGATATATTTGTTTATGTAACTTTTATCTGAATCATTATTTTTCTCTGTTTCTTGATTTCATTGTTTCTTGGTATTTTGGTTCCTCTCACTCCCTCTCCTTTTTCCCTTCTTTCTCTCTTACTCTCCTTTTCTGTCTCTCTTTCTTCTTTCCTTTTTTCTTTCAGTGGAGATATTATTTATTTATCTTTCTAGAACATATAAAGAATCGAAAAAAAGTCAGATACCCAGAATTCCAAGACCTGATTAAACAATGAACATCTGAAATGATACACACTTCTCAGGTGAAGAAAAACAAACGGCAAATAAATATATGAAACAATGTTCAACATCATTGGTCATTCTAGAGATACAAATTAAAACAACACTGAGATTCCATCTCACCCGGGAAAGAATGGCTAGCATCAAGAAATCAACCAATAACAAATGCTAGTGGGAGGAGCCTTTCTCGAGCGTTGGCGGGAGTGTAGACTGGTGTAACCACCATGGAAATCAGTGTGGAGATTCTTAAAAATATAGGATAGAGGTTCCGTTGAACTTAGCTATTCTCCTTCTGGGCATCTTCCCAGAAGAATTAAAAATCTCATACCACAGTGATATATGTGCACCCATGTTTATAACAGCTCAATTTGTAATAGCTAAATCTTGGAAACAATCCAAATGCCCATCCATCAAGGAATGGATAAAAAAGATGTGGGATTTTTATTCAATGGTGTACTACTCAGCCACGAGGAAGGATGAACTTAAGGCTTTTATAGATAAATGGATGCAACTTGAGACCATACTCAAGTGAAATAAATCAGACTCACATGTGTAAACATCATCTTGTCTCCTTGCTGTGAGAAACTGAAACAGTAAATAACGTATAAAATGTACCACAGATACTGTGCAATGGGAAGAAGTTGTTCAAAAGGAAAAAGGAACTAGGGTGGGTGAAAGGGGAAAGGACAGAAGGGAAAAGGGAAAAACTGCAGTTCAGAGATACTATTAGTGTCTCTAAGTTCATTATAAAGGAAGGTTTGTGCTAATATTGATTGGAGAAATTTTTATGCCTGTATCTTCTTATACCCCAACCAACCCCTTTAAAGATAGCAATATATAATGTATTATTCTCTTATTATTTTGCTATGAAATTTTATCTTTTTTCCATATAATAAAAATATTTATTTACACTGTACTGTGAAACTTTGTTTGATTCTATTAAAAAATCCTAATAAATTTAAGAAGTTTGGCTGGAAATGGTGTGTTATCTTTATTATTACTGCCATCATTGGTGGTACTGGAAATCTAACCTTCCATTGCACTGTTATATCTTTTTTTAAAAAAGTAAATTCTTTATTTTGAGGCAGGGTCTTGTGAAGTTGCCTAGGCTGGCCTTGAACTTGTAATCTTTCTGCTTCAGTCTCTTAAGTACCGGAATAACAGGCACCCATCACTGGCTTGCGGTTATATTTTGAAAAAGAATCACATGACATATTTATGGTTGCAGTGAAATCACGGCTGGGACTTAGGTAACATCCTAAGGAAACAGGGTTTGCCGTGAATTGGTTCTGGGGAAGGGGAGCACTGTGGTTCATTCTCCTACTTTCTGTGGTTTTTGTGTGTAATTTTTTTCATTTTTTAAAAAAATCTTCATAAATGTGATTTTTAAATTGTTTAATCATACCCCATCCTGTGGACATTCCACAGTGTGTGTAACTACTTTCTGTTGTTGGTAATTGGGGTTGTTTCTGGTTATTTGGGGGCTGAGACAAGACTGTAGTGTTTGACAACTTCTGTTATTTCCTTGTTGGAGATGGGTGTACTGGATTAAAAGAGAATGGACACATCCAATGCTTTCTTCCTGTCATAAAGTTGCCCTCCAGAAGAGATGATCCATGTGACTTTCACACAAGAGGAAGGAGAGTGCCCTTCTCAGTGCTTCAGGGAAATGTGTCTTATTTTAAAGTGTGTTTTTAAAACTCCCCAGTGACACTGAATCCCACCCTGCCACAGAATTGATTCTCATGGGCTTAGGGAGGGAGTCGGGCAGAACAGTTAAAGAGAAAACAGATTCAGTGGTATCCTCTGCTTCTTAGCTTTGAGGATGAGAAGCAAACCCAGAGCCCAGACACAGGTAGCCCTGGGATCAGATCTAAGCCCTGCTGCTTACTGGTTGTGGATTTTGTACAAGTTGGATCTCTCTGCCTGTCAGATTTTTCATGGAAAAAGGGCAGTCATGCTGGCCTTCATGAGCTATGTGGTAATAGAGACTGAGGGAGAAAAATCTGGAAATGATAGCTTTTGCTGTCCTTGGGAATCTGAGTCTTAGATATAAAATGACCTTCTGTTCTTCTGTGCAGGGACAGGGACGGGCTCAGAGTGGTCTCTGCCTGTCCACCTTTCGTCTTTCACAGCCTCGCAGTTCTGCGACCTTTCATTCACTGTCCGGCATCGGGGCGGCAGCTGGACTGAACCAGGAAACCCAGCTGGGTCTTGGAAAGTGAGTTCTGACTGCTGATGGTACTTGTAGCCTCCTGTGGCGATGCACCTTGCAGTAGGTGGGTTGGAAGATGGAGCTGAATGTCAGGTGGGTCCTTTTGATAATGTCTCATTCACTTTCCAGAGTTGGACTCACACCTGGGGCATCATCTTTCCAGAGCAGCTCACCTTAGCTGGGGTCGCTGCCTTGATTGATCAGCCTTCCCCCCACTACCCTTTACTATCCTTTATCTTCCTCCCACCTCACTCTGTCTCTGGCTGGACTCAGAGCCTCCAGGTTGAACATCTTGCTACACACACACACACACACACTCACACACACACACACACACACGCACACACACGCACACACTCCTTCCTAAACGCTGAGAATAGCTAAAACAGAAAGGGTCAGTGCCTCTAAATAACATGCTTGCTTGCAGTTCAAGAGAACTGAAAGTGTTTTTTTCTGTTTACGGTGTTTCGATCGGCAGGGGCCAGTGGGCATTCTATAAACACCAAGTGAATGAGCCAGCAAACCCAGGGCTGAGCTGCTTGGATGCAGAATTCTCTGGAAATTAAGACTAAATGCCAGGCCTCACCGCTGCCTGCCAGGCCTTGGTACGCCGCTCTGGGGCCCTTGCTGGGTCCCTGTTTTTCCCTGGGTGCGTTCAGGTACAGCAGGGTGAAGGTGGAGGCGGCAGGAGTGGGAGACTGGTTTATTTCCTAAGCCCAAGGAAAATCCAGAGATTTGGTAGGTTTTTCTGGGAGCTGTTGGGTCCACCAGCTTCTGCGTCTTGGGTGTGTAGGGCGGAGGTGGAGCAGGATCTCTCCCCCGCCATCTGCCAAGGGCTGGCAGCTGGGCGCCAGCTCCTCGGTTAGCAGCATTACTGTTTCATCTTGAGGATCAGAGATCTGATTCTTTCATGGTAATGATTCATTTCCTTTCATAATAGGAAACTCTGAGTGTCCTAAGCAAGAGTTTCTCAAACAGTGAATGTGTCTTTGTCCTCTTTAAAATAAAACAATGTTTCATCTATAAACTTTGCTTCCCATGGCTTTATGAAATCATTGAAATAGAAGTGTGGAAATAACAACACCATCTTGGAGAAATTTAAAACAACATGGATCCCGTCTGCACATTTTCAAAGCTCCTTCTCACCTATTATTTCCCTGTGGGTTACTAGGATTCTGTGACATTGCGCTTGTTTCTGTTATTTTGGGACAAAGTTTTGCTCAGTCGCCTAGGGTGGTCTTTATCTTTTGGGCTCACGCATTCATCCTGCTTCAGCTTTCTGGGTACAGTGGGTGGGGCACGCATCCACATGTGTGGCTTTGAAATAGGAATTATTTCCTTTTTGTCTTGAGGAAGCAGTGACTCAGACAGGGCTGGTGATTTTCCTAAGCACACACAGCGACTTTGTTGGGGAGTTAGGAGACCTTACATCTGTGGTGGGTTTTTCTGCTGGTCAATTTTCTGTTCATTTCAGCATCACCCTCTTCTCCAGCTCTCCTGAGAATTCCACAGTTCTATTCTCTTTGCGGTGAAGCAGTACTTAACACCGAGGGTGGCAAGCATCGGCTTTATTGAGATAAACATCAAGATCCTGGGTTAAGCCAAAGAGAAATATTGATTCATGACACTCTCAGGAAGGTCATCTCACTCTTTCAGAAATTAGGACCTCTTCACCCCTCAGCAGCTGAGCCAGGTACCACCTTTCTGTCCCTCTGTCCCTATTCCTGTCAGATCTAGGTGTACAACCTGCCACTTATTACATGTACACTTCCAGCAGAAGGGAAAACAGAGGCTTAAACGTGCTCGCCATTTGCCTAAGACCCTACAGCCACTGAATAATAAAGCCCAGATTCAAATTTAAGTTTTTCAGACAGCAAAATATGACTCAAATGCAATCCAGCATTTGCCTTCCAGATACCGCCTGTCTGAGGGACTCTGCCCTCCTCAGTCCTGGGGTTACCTGGGTCATAAAGCCTGTGAACCTTGAATCAGGTCTGATGGAGACCCTGGCTCTGCATGGGTCTGCAGTGGGGTGATGGTGGGAAAACTCCAGAATCTCTCTAAATCTCCTGGTTTCTCAAATAGACTTAACAATGCCTTGGCCTGGGTGAGTGGCTTGCAGGTCACAGAGGTGCCTGGTGCTTAGTAGGTGTCTAAAAGCAGCGGTGGTTTCTTGTTTGCAGTCACTGCCTTTCGGGGCATGCAGAAGGGACACTGTGAGGGCCACGGGCCGTACGTAGTGTGCTTTCTTGCTACAGCTGTGCTCACACGGGACCCCTCCACCCATTAGTCAGAGTTCTCATGAGTCACATATGGGTCAGCATGCAAGCATTGGAGCTATTTTGGTGACTTCTTGTTGTGTCATAAGGAGGGACCAACACTGGCTTTATGCCAGGCATTCCTGGGCAAATCTTACCTCCCTTGGTTTCACACTCGTATATAAAATGTTAAAACAGTAGGCTCTCGTTGACATGTGAGAGAGCTTTCTCAGATCAATTCTGCATCATCACGACCACCCTCTCCCTTCTTCTGCGTAACAGCCCTATGGAAAGACTTTTGGCAGGCAAGAAAATCATGCATATACTTTCCCCTATATGCAGCCAAGCATAATTGAAGATTTAAATGATTTCTATCCTTTATTGATTCCATTAATAAAGGGCTACAAGGGTTTTGGAATCCATTAAAAGAAATTCATTGTGGAGTAAACTTTTCTTAACGTGAGCTGTTTGAGCTCTTTGGAAGCCGCAGTTCACAAGCAAACAGTTCTGTCTCTTGCTTCCTGATGTGGTGGGCACAGGGGCACCGGCCTCCGGGGTCTCCACTGCAGTATATGTACCAAGGGGCTGACTCTTGTTACAGCTTTCTGTTGAGCTTGCTTCCTCTTCCTCTTGCATGGTGGCCCATTTGGCCTTGACCTGATCCTCACAAAGATATCAGGTTGCTAAACTGAGAAGTAAACAGCTGTTACATTGGTAACTTTAAGGAGGAATAGTTGCCCTTCAGTGATTCTGGCATCTGGGAGATGTCAGGAAACACTGGCTCTGATTTTCCTGCCACCTAGATGGGTAAAACCACCGTGGAAGGGAAAGAAAACAACCCTGATGCAACCCACCGTCCTGGAGTCCTGCAGGAAATATTTGAGACAACATTACCAGACATGATCATTCTCACTAGAGACACAGCTAACCTGATGTTCCAAGAGAGACACTTAGGTCATCAGACATTGTTAGCAGGATTTGCTCGTCTCTGATATTTCTGTGGAAATCTTTCCCTCCTATGTGGCGGCCATTTGGACCTGCTTTGCGATGCAGCATGTGGGGATTCTGGGTCCCATGATCACCTTACCACCATTCTGGGTTGTATCAGCTGTGGTGTCTGTTTTAAGAGAAGACATCTTTGTGCTCTAGCATTACTTTGCATTTACAGGCTGAGTGGTGAACTAGGGAGAAAAGCTTACCTCTCACCTGGCTATCAGTGAAACTCTGGTTATTGCTCTTCTCTTGATTTCCAAGTCCTTGAAGCTATATTCTTCTGGATACGCTTAGAAAGACTTAGTTTTGCCAAGTTGGGGGGCTACGAAGGGGAGTTTTCTAAGTACCTACCTGTATTCCGCCCACTAGTAGATTCTGTCTCCCCCCCGCCCCCCCCCGAGATATGTTGAATAATAATTGTGTTTATTGCTGGGACCAGAAGTTATGATTAAAATAGGCTAAGCAGTACCAACCAGAATTTCTTTCTTTCTTTTTTTTTTTTTTTGTCTTTTTCCTTTTTTATTGGTACCAGGGATTGAACCCACGACTACCTGCTTGCAAGGCAGGCGCTTATGCCGCTGAGCTAAATCCCTAGCTCCCAACCAGAATTTCTTGCCCATGGTCTGTAGAGACCCATTCACTACAACAAATCTGTATAACCAAAGAAAGCAAGTTGCAGTGTGTCTTGCTGAATTTAACAACTAATTTGTTAACAACCGACAATCTCATTCTGACCTGACCTCTTATTGGCAGCAGTAACTTGGTTCATCTGATAACACATGAGAAGGGAAATTCTTAGTGGACAGCATCATTTAAAATCTGAGAATCAAATCAGAGGGAAGCAAAATACGAGAGGTACTTGCTTGGGTACTTGCTTAGGAACCGTTGACTTTGATTAACTTGAAAGGAGCATTTGTTATTCTGTGGTGCTAGTGAAATGTTACGGGGAAGAAAAATAAAAAGTTGAGAATTTCGTTGATGTTCTCAGATCAGTAGAGATAAATGTTCAGGAAGCTTCCACGCGTAGCCCTATCAGTGTAATGCTAGGTACTACCACAAACTGGTTGGAGCAATCTTGACTGCTACTGCATACTCATTTTGTATGTCACCTTGATTCAGAAATGACATATGTTATCTTTGCTGATGTTTTGTAGCTGATGCCTGGTAAGGTGTCCCACATCCTGATGTTTAGGTGTTATGTACAATTGCTAGAAAACATCTTTCCTGTCTGGTGGAAGGAACAAGTGTATGGCAAGTGCTTAACATGAGGAGATGGAAAAAGGAGTCCTTACAGGATCACACGGCTGCTCAGGGGCACAAGGTAAGGCATCAAAGATGAGCCCATGGTGTCAGAGAGTTTCTGGAGCCAGCACCATGGCCTGCTGCTTTGAGGCCCCCTGGGAGGGGAGAGAGTCCTCTGTCAGCATCTCTAGGAGCAGGAAGTTTGAGTGCTGAGGTCCAGATGATGGTGAGACTTTAAGGCAATGACGACCAGGGTAGAAGAAATTGAAGTCACCGGAAGATCAAAGTGGTGGCCAGCAGCTGTGGGTGACTTGGTGGCCCCCTGGAAGGCCTGCGTTAGGGGAACATGCTAGACAGCACAGCCAATTTTGGAGTTAGAATAACCTAGGTCACACTCCAGCCTGACTATTTATGGTGACATTTTGAGCAAACAGACTCTCTGAGCTTCAGTTTTGTCATTTATAGAAAAGGAAACTAATGCCCCCCCCCCCAGGGTGATAGTCAGGATAATGTGTTAGCAAGATAAAATGCTAGCACCTTGTAAATGAGACTTGTGAGTTCTCCTCATCTGGGCTATTGAAATAACAACCTCTGATCACA